CTATGTTCCCAACCCAGAGCCTCAGTATGTACTGACACACTGCCCACTCTGTTCAATGGACATTCTACATCCTTACTGCAGGGAAGCATGCGTGGTCCTGATCCTGTGGGTGTTCTTTTTTAGTTTCCTCTAACTCGTCTGCTACTCAAGGCAGGCTCCACCCGTGGCTACCTTCCTCTGTCTGTCCCCAAAATGTTGGTGTTTCCAGTGCTCTGTCCTGGACTCTCCTTCTCCCACCTCCCACAACACTCTCGTTGGGTAAACTCACCTTCTCTCATGATCTCACGTGCCTTCTCTGGGCTGGTGAGGCCCACATTGCTGTGAGGTCTCCATCTCTGCCTTCAGTCCAGACCCCTTTCCCAGGCTCAGCTCACCATATCCAGGAGTCACCTGGACACCTCTCCCTGGCTGTTCCACAGGCCTCTCTCACTTACCATGTTCCAAACTGTGTTCGTCCTTCTGCCAAAACCACCTGTTTCCTGTATTCCCACTCATCCACTCAACAATAAATATCCACATGTATTTATTAGATACTTACTGGTGTGTAAGAAAAAATGTAAGATTTTTGGAATAAGCAAAAGAAATTACTGCTATATGAAAAAGACAGGCAATAACAAGTGTTGGTGAGAATGTGGAGAAACGGGAAACCTTATACATGGCTGGTAGGAATATAAATGGTGGAGCCCTGGCCTGCCCAGAACCAGAACTGAGCCCACAGAGAATTTTTTTTTTTTTTGGAGATAGGTTCTTGCTCTGTTGCTCAGTACAGTGGTGTTATCATAGCTCACTGCAGCCTTGAACTCCAGGGCTCAAGTGATTCTTCCGCCTCAGCCTCCTGAGTAGCTGGGTCTACAGGCATGCAGCACCACACCAGGTTGAGGATGTTAAACTGATGACCCAAGGTGGAGAGGGGATTAAAATGCAGGTGTTTTGATGGTTAAGAGGGTAGAGAGGCCTGACTTTCCAAACGGAGGTGCACAGGAAGGGCAGGACGCCTGGGGGTTGGGTTGCAGGACCTTTGAAAGATGGGCTCAGATGTGGACAGCTGCGGGGGTGTCTGGGCAAATTGGGTAGAAGTACCACAACCTTGGCTTTGGGAGCTCTCCAGCCAGGCTAGTCGGGGAGGGAGAGGTCTGCCAGTGCCCCCCTTTTCACCCCTCCCCCAGGGCTGGGGGTAGCCATGGTGATCACATCTGTGTGTCTTCCCGGGATGGCCTGAGCCTCCTGGAATTGTGACCAGCCCCAGAGACAGGGTGAGGCTCTGGGAAAACGACTAATAATCAGATTTCCTGGCAAAGAAAGGAGGAGGTGCCAATCGTATTTAATGTGCTTTATTAAAACGAAGACGCGCTGCATTTCTTACACTCTGCCCGCCGTGCCTCACATCCACATCCACAGTTACAAATCGTGATATGTGAGGCAAAAGGGATGGTCACAGAGCTAGAGAAAGGTGGGCAGATTCACTAGTTAGCAGGAAGAGCGGACTCGTCTTAGCGGTGGATTGGAAGGGGAGTGGGAGGTTGGTGCAAAAAAAGATTTCCAGGTTTCTGGCGGAGAAGTGGGTCAGCGGGAGCGCATTCTCTACCCCCTTCCTCTAGACCATCCGCCCACCCCGCGGCAGACTGCCGAAGGTGTCGCTCCAGCCGGACCTGGCTCCTGTCTCCTGCCACACGGGCCGCCTCCTCGTTCCTCCAATAGGTCATCAAGTGACCTTATGAGGTGCCAAGGGAAGGGATCTCTGTGTGAGAAAAGGAATAACACGGCGGCCTTTCTCGGATCAGCCGCCAGGGGCTCCGGCGAGGCCTCGGGCCGGCTCCCGAAGGGCGTCTCCCAGCCCGGCCCCACCAGGGCGGGAGGGTGGAGCGCAGGCTGCAGAGGTCGAAGTCGCCCACCCACGCCGGGCCACTTTCTTTCCCACAGGGCCGCGCCTCGAGAGCCCGCAGGGCCAGGCTGCACGGGCAGTGGGGCCCGGGGTCGGTGGCTGGGCAGGGGGTGAGCCTGCGGGCGCGGCGGTGTGCAAGTGCGCGGTCGGCCGCGGCCCGGGCTGCGGGGCGAGGCGATTGCGTCCCGGGGCTTGCGAGATCCGGGCCGGGGGCTCTGGGCGGAGACGCCCTTCCGGGATGCGCCCTTCCGGGAATCCGGGATGCGATGCTGGGGCGGGGCTCGGCCGCCGGCGCACCCGGCCTCCGCGGGTCGGGGCTAACCCTGGGCTGGGAGCGGGGAGCCTACCCTTGCAGAGACCCCACCGCCCCACCCCTCCCGCGAAGGGGCGCCCTCTCCGCCCAGCCGTCCCCCTCCACTCCGCAGGCCGCCGCGTCGGTGGGGACGCGGGGCCGGCGGCCTGGGGTCGTTCGTCTTGCTCCTTGAGGCCTTCGCTGGCCGGAGGGAGGGGAGGGCAAGGGAGGGCAAGGACGAGGACCCCGCGGGGGGCTGGGAAATGGCTGCCGCGGAAGGAGCATGCAGGATCGAAGTCCATGCAAGAAGGGCCTGACAGTCCAGTGCATTTCCCGTCCTTCGTTGCCCCAGCCCACGATGGGGCCCAGAGCCCTCCCCTCCTCCTTCTGAGCCTTCTTGCTTGGCGGTGGAGAGCTGGACTGCACGGAGCAGCTCACCCCCCCACCCCCGCAGCTGGACATTTTCTGCCCCTGCATCCCCAGGGCTCCTAGCAGAGGCCACCACCTCTTAGGCCCACCCCCAGTCCTTACCTACACTGGCCTCCAGCTTCTGACACTGCGCATCTCTGTCTCCTTGAACCCCTCCTGGCAACACAGGCCCTTTGCCTCCTCCTTACTGCTCTAGGCCTAACCCTCTCAGCTTCCTCCGTGGCCTCTCTTTGATGACCTAAAGGTCTCTAGAGCTCGAACTGTGGGCTCACGGGCTCACGTCTCTTTCCATTCTCACACCTTGTCTGGGGAAGCTCAGCTTCCACGTGGGGAGCTTCAGTGACCATTCTCCACCTGACCCTGAGGCAGCTGACTTCCAGTCCTGGTCTCCAGCTGGCTCTCTCTTCAGCAGTCCAGCCCTGGTCATCAGTGGCCTCCTGGACGCCTGCCCCTTGGAGTCTCAGAGGCTTGTTCAGCGTCTTGGAGACCATGCCATCCTCTGCCTGACCTGTGGGACCATGTGTCATGGGACCCGGTGTGTGGGTCAGAGCAAGAACTGAAAGGAGCTCTCCACACCTGACACTTCAATGCCTGTGCTCAGCCTTGTCTTGTCTCCAGGTCTCTCACTATCAGAGCTCAAATGGCCACAAGCTCTGAGGACTACTTCCATACTGGGCCAGGAAGAAACCTCACAGTGCGTGTGTGTGTGTGTGTAGAGGTGGCTTCTGGGGACAGAAAACCCTAGTGCTGTTGGGAATGGGGTGAGGAGAACTTGGTGCCAGCTGGTTGGGAATGTCTTGCTTAGAAAACTGAACTCTTTGGAGTCATCAGTGCTGTACTTCCTGTTTTGTTTTTGTTTTTGTTTTTTTAAATAAGAACTGAGTTGAGCTCCTTTAAAAGGACCTCTTTAAAAAAAAAAAAAGATTTTTAGGGCCAGGTGTGGTGGCTCATGCCTGTAATTTCAGTACTTAGGGAGGCTATGGAGGGAAGATTGCTTGAGCCCAGGAGTTTGAGACCAGCCTGGGCAAAATAGCAAGACATTGTCTCTACACAAAATCAAAAAACTTAGCTGGGTATGGTGGCACGTGCCTGGAGTCCCAGCTACTCCGGAGGCTGAGGGAAGAGGATCACTTGAGCCCAGGCGGTCCATGCTGCAGTGAGCCATGATCATGCCATTCCCCTCCAGTCTCAGAGACAGAGTAAGACCCTGACAAAAACAAACAAACAGATTTTTAAAGGGTAGGAGTGTTGGAGCCAGCTTTGGTGAGGGCAGCGGGTGGAGCCTCCCGCTTGCAGTTCTCTGAGGGTTCTGGGCTTTTAAAGGAAGGCTGCCACACAGCCTTGTGGCCCATCCAGGGGCATCCCGGCAGCAAGGCTGAGTCTCAGGCCTGTTGCACAGCCTTCTTCCCCACGGCTTGGCTGTGGTTCTCCCTCAGCCTGCCAGCCCACAGGGCCTCACACTCACTCCCTCCCAGATGTCCTGGGACTCTGAAAGCTGATCACCCCTGCCTGGTTCCTGTTTCCTGTTCCAGAGACCTTCCATACCCTTGGTCAAGTCCTCTTGCAAACCAGATTCCTTTCATCCATGGACTTCTAGAGGGGTCCTTGCCCTGGCCACACCCGTGCTATCCTTTCTGTCCCCTGCCTGGGCTGTCCAGCACCTGTCAGAACTCCACAGCCACCTTCTCTGGGAAGCCTTCCTGGCTGCCCATATTAGGTGTCCTCTCTTCACTGTCCTCTCAAAGTTGGGTCTAAACTAGTCCTCATCCCACACCACGTTTTCTTGTCATAAGACTGGGATTCTTCAATGCCCAGTACTGAGCTCGGTGCACAGTAAGTGCTGAGGAAAATCCCGTTGCAGGTATGAATGGGAGGGGGACTTCAGGTACTTTTTAGAGGCTCTTGGTTAAGCTGTCATGGATATTGAATGAGGTTCGGAGATGCTAGGGTCTACTGTGTCCTGAGACTTGTGATCAGAGGCTTGGTTTTCTCAAGAAGTTTGACCTCTGGGTGAACTTTAAGATTGAGCTCTTGGCAAACAACTATCACCCAATTCCCCGGGCCACCTGGGTCCCTGCTTCTGTTTCATCTGCAGGCTTAGACTCGGAGCCATCCAGGGCTTAGCCTGCTTGGATCTGGTACCTCTTGCCGGACCTTCATGCAATCTGACCCTTGCCTCATCCTGGCCCCCTTCATGATGTGGTCCTGTCTCCCATCTCCTAGTGCGGCTCACCACTCACATCTCATGCTGATAATTCACAGGAGCTGGATGTTTCTCAGATTCCTCTGGCCCAGATGGGTGACTGTAGAGCCTGACATAGCCACTTCTGAGTGCACATGGCACGCACGCGTATGCACATATGCACACGCCCCAACCACAAAGCCAGAGAGAGACACTGCTGAGCCAGAGGGACGAGTTTTATTAGATTCCAGCAAGACTACGGTACGTGTTTCATGCAGATTAAATATGTGTCTTCACTGCCCCAGGAGGGGAGCAGGCTCACAGTCAGCTCCTTCATTGGCATGTCAAGGGGAACCCTCAATGTACTCCGTGTGGGGGACAGTTGGGATCATGACTGGGGGTGGAGGTGGGACAGTGGGGAGCTGAGGGCCCTTGGGACCTTGAGTCTTCAGAGGTTCAGGGACTACAGGACCTTGGTCCTTTGCTGGTGCTGGCACCAGAGGCTCTCGATCCTTCAGAGGCACCGGGATTAGAGGAACTTGATTCTTCACAGGCTCAGGGACTATGGGACCTTGGTTCTTTGGAGGCTCTGGGGCCACGGGGCCTTGGTCCTTGGCTAGTGCTGGGAGAATGAGGCTTTGATTCTTCACAGACTCGGGGACCACAGGACCTTGGTTCTTTGGAGGTGCCACAACTGCAGAATCATGAACTTTCAGGTGCTCAGGGACCGTGACATCTTGACGCTTGACTGGCTCTGGGACCACTACACCTTGAATCTTTACGGGCTCAGAGATCACGGGCCCTTCATTCTTTACAGGTGTGGTGACCATGGCACTCTGGTCCTTCCAATGCTCTGGGACCATGGGGTCTTGATCTTTGGCAGGTGCTGGGACCACAGGGACTTGATTCTTCACAGGCTCAGGGACCACAGGATGTTGATCTTTCAGAGACTCTGGTACCAAGGAAACTTGATCCTTAACTCTTTCTGGAACCATAGAACTTTGATTCTTTAGAGGCCCTAGGATCAAGGGACCTTGGTCCTTGACTGGTGCTGAGATCACAGAACCTTTATCCTTGAGAGGCTCAGGGACCACGTGATCTTGATCCTTGACTGGTACTGGGACCATGGGACCTAGATCCTTCAAAGGCCCTGGGGCCACAGAACCTTGATCCTTCGGAGGCCCTGGGACCTTGGGGCCTTGATCCTTTGGAGGCTCTTGGGCCACAGGACCTTGACCTTTCTGAAGGCCTGGAACCACAGGACCTTGATCCTTGTCTGGCTCTGTGGCTACAGGACCTCGATTCTTACTTGAGTCACTGACGGGTTGGACCAGGCTCCTGCAAAGGAGAGAGAGGTGGTCACTGTGAGGGCAGAACTCAGGGCAAAGATAGGCAGAGCACAGATTGCCTGAGAAGTCTTGGCCTGGCAGAGCCTGGGGCGGGCAGCTCTTGCTGGAGAGCCAGGGGATTTGGATTCCTGTGTTCTTGGCACAGAACGTGGGGTGGGGTGGGGGCTAGGCTCAGGAATGTCATTCAATGTGCTTGCCAATTGATTATAACCTGCACGTGGCACGGGGGCGGTGCCCTGGTGGTATCGCAGTACTGTGGCTGGGCTCAGAGCCATCCATTGGGTGTCCCAGCAGCCTGTCCACTCCACACTCAGCCCGGATCCCTACTCTTTCCTCCAGGATCATCAGGCCCACCCAGCAAGCCCCATTTTAGCTGTCCAAGTAGATGACCCTACTGGCCAGGGTGCTCCTTCCTTGTTCTGCAGGGAGGGGGGAAAGGGTCTATGACATACCAAGAAAGGGGGTAGTAGGAATGTCCCGCTTCCCCTCTCCCCTGCAAGGGAAAAGTATTCTATCACTGACATTGTATAGAATAGCAGGCACACAGTGATAGTAAAAAGCAGATCAGCTTTTAGTTGTTTGTTGTTTTTTGTGGAGATGAGGCATCACTATGATACGCAGGCTATTCTCAAACTCTTGGCCTCAAGCGATCCTCCTCCTTCAACCTCCCACAGCTCTCATAGGCAATCTACTTCATTATTATCTGTGCCACTCCCGCTGTCCCTGGACTTGGTAGGTGACTCATTGGGACTCCTAATCCAGGCAGAGACAAGGCCCTGGTTCCTTCACTCCATCCCCATTCTCCTTGGACCCTGGCCCTCACAAACTCCCAGGCTTCAGGGCTTCTTTCCCCGCAGCCAAGAGCCCACTCCCCTCACCAGACCCCCATGCCCTGCTTCAGCTGCCTCACCGCTGCCCTCTGCCCCGTCCTCGACCCAGTCACATCGTGGGGAGCATGTGTTAACACTGACATTCAAGGGCAGACAGTGCCACACTCAGACCTGGCCAGCTGGGGCCCTCTGGTTGAGAGTGCACACCCCTTCCTTGCAGGCCCGATTGGAAGTCACCACTCAAGAGTGGCATTGCTCAGCCAGCGTCTCAAGCTCTCACAAACCTATAACACATTTCGCTTTCTGAATTGATTATTTTTCCAGCTCATGTCAACAACATGGCAGCCCTAGGAAGAGCACAGGAAGGACTTTATCACCTTCTTGGCTGTTGAAGAAGATGAGGAGGGTGAGTGGTGTGGAAAGAGAGGAACCCACATGGACTAGAGTCTGGTCTTTCTGCTCCTGGAGCCTGGGATCTTTCCCTTCTAGGGCCCGGCACATAGTAGGTGTTCAATACAAGGAAGCTATATGATTATTCTTACTCTTTTATGCTTTGTGGCAACACAATCTTTAATCTTAAAACCACTTCAGCATTTTCGGGGCCTTACTGTGTCACCTAGGCTGGCCTTCAGAGGTGCAATCATGACTCATTGCAGCCTTGACCTCCTGGGCTCAGGAGATCCTTCCGCCTCAACCTCCTGAGTAGCTGGGCCTACAGGTGCATGCCACCATAGCTGGTTTATTTTTTGTATAGACAAGACCTCACTGTATTACCTAGGATGGTCTTGAACTCCTGGGCTCAAGTAGTCCTCTCCACTTGTCCTCCCAAAGTGTTGGGATTACAGACATGAGCCACTATGCCCAGCTACGCATCAGCATTTTAACAGTTCCTATCAGGATTTTAGAGGAACAAGCCTTACCTGCTTCTTTTTTTTTTTTTTTTTGAGTTGGAGTCTCACTCAGTCGCCCAGACTGGAATGCAGTGGTCGCTCCTGGCCACCGCAGCCTCGACCTCTCGACCTGCTGGGCTCTGGCGATCCTTCTGCCTCAGCCTTCCAAGTAGCTGGAACTACAGGCGTGCGCTACCACACCCGGCTAATTTTTTAAATTTATTGTAGAGATGAGGTCTCACCTGCCCAGGCAGGTCTCGAACCCACGGGCTCAGGCAATCCACTCACCTCAGCCTCCCAAGGTGTGGGATTACAGGCTGAGCCACCAAGCCCGGCTCTTAATGCCTCTCCAGTGAGATCCCTACTTGGTAACACTTTCTTAGCTCATGGTGTAATTTTACTGAGCCTCAGTCTGCCATCTATTCATTGGGTGTAATGACAGTTACTCAGAAATGTCTGATGCTGAGGTCATATACACAGAGCGCACCTTGTACTATGGTATTACTATGTAGCACTAAGATTATTTTTCTATTTCCTTAGAAGTAGAATTATACATATTTGGGCTATTTTTATTCTGCCACATCAGCCTGAGTCAGCATCTTTTTACTGTATTTAGCATTTTGAGTCACCTAGGGGTTGACATATCTCAGCAGCATCCACAGTGGCACAGGCAGCCTATCCATCCAGTCCTCCTGGCTATCTCAGGCCAGGGGAGGGGAGGCCCAGGGCAGCTCTCCAGCTCAGCACCACGTGGGGCACAGCTGCTACGGCCAGACAAACACAGCTGGCTGCCGTCAGTGGGACCTTAGCATCTGAGAGAGCCAAGCATGGCCGTGGGAAGATTGTTGGATCCAAAGAGGGCGTTAGAACACCTCCAGTCACTGGTGGCTGCCACAGAGGGAACATGAAAACTGATTTCAGAATAGAATCAAGCAGGACATTGACTCACTATATCCTCTCAGGTTGCGAGGTGACCTGGGTAGGATCAGCCCGATGGGGTATGAAGCCGAGAGGGGATGAAAGAAGGTGACCAGGACTTAACATGATCTTGGGGTGCAGAACCCACCCCATTGGCAGGACATGGACCCAGAGTCTCCGGCTGGCCTGGAAGTCATAAAGATGGCCAGCCCCACAGCCCAGCTGGAAAGTTCATTTCCCAGGATGTTTGCAGCACTGGTTCCCATGCCTCACCCCAGATTTCTGTTTAATAAGCACTCTCGCCGGCTGTGAGCTAATCCCAAATTTGCAGGGATATATATCCCCATATTGCTTTGGTTAGTAAACTTTTTTCTTTATTGGGTAAGTGTCCTTAATCATGGGAAGGTTTAGAATTAAGATTAGAAGTGATGAATTAAATCAAACCCCAAATGTTACCTTTTTTTTTTTTTTTGCTTATAAGTTGAGGAAAAGCCTGCATAGATTTAGTTCAAAAGTATTTGTAATGATTAAGATAATTTAGTATATTATAATTTCTAAAAGATTAACTGTGATTTCAGTGTAAATGTGTAATTAAATAATTGAGTTAGACTTATAAATTAAGTTGAAAAATATGACAGTTTACAAATTTTGTAAACAATGATGGAACTTTTATGACAATGCAGTAGTGTCCATATTTTTAAGCTTAATTTATTTAAAATTATTTATAATTTAGTCTAAGTTATTTAGAGGAATTGAATTAAGTTATAAAATCCTCCTTAAAAGAGATTGTTACATTTTCCTAGGTTTTTTACTTTGTTACTTTTATAAATTAAGCACTCATTTTATTTTATTTTATTTTATTTTTTTGGGTCAGAGTCTCATTCTGTAACCCAGACTGGAGTGCAGTAGCATGCTTACGGCTACTGCAGCCTCTACCTGCTGGGCTCAGGTGATCCTTCCACCCCAGCCTTCCAAGTAGCTGAAACTATAGGAGCATGCCACCACACCTGGCTAATTTTTATTATTTATTGTAGAGACGAGGTCTCACCAAATTTCCCAGACTGGTCTCAAACCCCTGGGCTCAGGCAGTCTTCTCCTCTCTGCCTTCCAAAGTGCTGGAATTACAGGCGTGAGCCACTGCACCCGGAAAGCATTCATTTTAAAAACCAAGGCAGCTGGACCTCAAGGATGCCGTGAAATCCTCACTGACCCTGACAAGTCATCACTTGATCCCATCAGTCCCAGCCCATCTCCCCATATTCAAAATGCCTCTCCAATAAGACTGGCGATGGCAGTGCTCACAGTGCGTCTGTGTGACTGAGGGGTAGAAGTGGCTGTCACCAGCCCCACTCAGGCCACAGGTCAGCTATCCTTGGGCATGGCCCAACCTGCACAAATGAATCTGGTGCCCTGGACCAGCTGCAAAATTTCTCAAGACAGCACATGACAGAGGCCCCTTCTTCCAGCCTGTGTGTCCTGAGAGCCTAGCCTCTAGAAACCAGAACGACCTGCTGGCTTTATCCTAGCTTCTTGCTGTTCATCTCCTGAAGGTCTTGAGCACTTGCTCAACCATGATAGACCTCAGTTTCCCCACCTGTAAAATGAGAATAACAATATAAATGTTTGGGACAATTGCAACAGAGGATCAGAGGACCCTGTTAGGCAGGGATCTGAAATCATAATTCTTGCTATCTGTAGAGTGCTTGGGGATTACACAAGTAAGTCCATGACTGTTATAACTGTAATAACAGCTTAGCAAATGCTCCCACATCTGTTACTTTATCTCCTTGACTCTAGGGGAAGGCAGACCTACCTGTGATCCCATGGTCCTCTCGTGCTAGCTTACACACTCTCAATGCTATACCTGTTCTTGCTCTTCCTGCTTGCCCCACTTTTCCCTCAAAGGCCTGCCTGTCCTCAAAGGCTCAGCTCCCATCTCCTCTCTAGATGAGTTTTGTTTGCATCCCCCTTGCACACCACTTTACAGTGTCTCTCCACAGTCACAGACCCCAACTGCTGTGAGACTGTGAGCCTCCTGAGGGCAGGGCCATCCTCCTTGCCTGCAGCCTTGATGCCCAGTACACTATCTGAAACAAACAAGGCCAAACAGAAAGGTTTACAGATTGTTGCTGAAACCTGACTCATCCTCTAGCCCATAGTCCCAGCCAGAAACTCAGAATCATCCTTGAAGTCTCCCTCTTCCTCGAAACCCTCACCCAGCCCATCAGGTCCCATCTAGTTCAGCTCCTAACTTTCATCTCTCAACTATTCCCCTTCTGTTTCCCTACCACCTGCTATGCCATCACTTCTCTGGACCACTGTCACAGCCTCCTGTCTGGTGTTTCCTGTTC